CATTCAGTTGTCCATGCATTTATTACTTCCCGTCTCGACTACTCTAACTCAGTGCTATACGGTACCTCCTCCTCCACTCTCGCTCGACTTCAGCTTGTGCAGAACGCAGCAGCTCGTTTCTTGACTGGCACCAGGCAGCGGGAACACATCACACCGGTTTTAGCAAATCTTCATTGGCTCCCCATCCATCTCCGGATAGAGTTTAAGATCCTGGTTTTTGTGTTTAAATCCCTAAATAACTTAGCACCTGGCTACTTGTCTGAGCTCATTCACCCATATGTCCCTACAAGATCTCTCCGATCAGCTGACCAACACCTCCTACATGTCCCTAGCTCTCGCTGTAAGTCCCGCGGGGAGCGCGCCTTTTCAGTTTGTGCACCGCAGCTCTGGAACCACTTGCCCCTCCCGATCAGACTCTCTTCCTCTCTTTCCCTTTTTAAGTCTCGTTTAAAAACTCACTTTTATTCTCTGGCTTTTAATTCTGTCTAACTTATTCCCTTTCTACCTTTCCTTTTAGGGTTGGATTACTTGATTTTAATGGATTTAGTTTTTATTTTTGATTGTTTTTATTGTGTGTTTTGTTCAGCACTTTGGTCGGCTCTCATGCCATGTTTAAATGTGCTATATAAATAAAATTGGTATGGTATGGTATGGTAAGCATCGAAATGAACTGTTTAATCTGCCCGTCATTTGTGTTGAGAGATCAGAAGTGTTTGGATCAACAAAGTGTGACTACTTTGATAGTGTAAACTGTATTTATGGCTTATTTTTGTGCATTTAAAGTTCAGCCGCCATTGATAGTTGTTAAAAGTTGTTAAACCTGTGCATATGAAACAAAAAAGGCCTTTTGTTTATCGATTTTTTGTGAAATAACGGAAGTTGTGCTTGCTCCTTTTCCTGTTGGGCGGTTGTGATTCCTGTCCATTGACTGCGGAGGTGCTCCGGCGTCCGGCAAAAATAGGATCGATTCTATTTTTGCCGGACGCCGGAACAGAGGGCGGCGCGCTGCCGCAGTAGTGGAACAGCTCTGATTTACTACAACGGGACCGATGTTGCTACGGAGTTCGTGCCGAAGCGGAGCAGAGGTAGTGGAATTTGGGGGTAATGGCACCTGGCATCTGTAGAGTCACACCAAGACGCTGGTGGAGCACATCTCCACCATCTGGAGCTCGCTTGTTTGATCCATCCCAGTCAAAGCCAAGAAGCCCAGCCAAGCCATCACGATGTTGAGTCATTTTCACTAAACTAGATGATTCCATGATTTAAATTAAAGATGCTCTATAGAAAAGGGAAAACCGGCCTCACTTTTAAAAATCCCAGTAAATTACTTCCTCTAATCGTGTTCTACTCAAACACAACTTTTATTTACAAAAAAAAAAAAGAATAAAAAATGACATTATTTAGCCGTCACAATGACTAAAGCAGTTTCCTCGTGTGTGGAGTAAATTATTTCTGAATCCACAGTGAAAATGGGGCCATTTTGACACCGTTGTAGCTCATATTGGCACCATGCGAAGGAATGGAGACATGATCAGAGGAGGGAACCGCGCTGCCAAAGTCTGCCTCTTCCACGCCAGTGCATGGGGAGATGGGAGAGGTAGGGTGCAGAGCCAACTTTCCATTCCAGCTGGAAAACTGGAAAGAGGCGTTGTTTTTGTCAGCGCCGGCTGTCGGCTCTCTGCAGCAGCAGATCTGAACGTGCACCTCGCCACCTCCGTCGGACACTTTACATGATGGATTCTCATCCAACCTCTCAGAAACAACTCAGATCAGCAAAAGTCATAAAAACTGAATTAAGAAGACAATCCTGTCTAAAATTGTGAAACGGTTCTAGAGGAAAACACGTTTCTTAGAGACTTCACAGATGTATAATTTCCCTCAGTGTGTTTTCTGTCTCAGCAGCCTCTACAGCTACTCCTTTCATCGCTTTTCACAAAGGAGCCCATCACTATTCCGGCGGCGCTGCTGGTGGTCACAAAGCCTCGCTGTCCGTCTCTGTCGGCGCGGCCTCTGACTCATTCAGATTTACACACCCTCTCTTGGTCATATTAGGGATTTCATGTTTAAATGCTGAAAGACAGCAGGGAGAATAAGTATTGGACACATCAGCATGCTCATCAGTAAGAGTTTTTGAGGTTTTAAGTATTCAATTCATGCAAAGACATCTAAACATTTAAATTGAATTTATTGTAATAAAGTGAAAAGACACAGTGAGTAAGTGTTGAACAGACTTTATTTAAAAGTTTGTAGAAAAGCATTTGTTGGTGATTACAGCTTCTAGACGTCTCTCGTATGGAGAGACCCGTCGTCTGTGTTGCTCAGGAGAGATTCTGGCCCATTCTTCCACACAAACGCTCTCTTGAAGGTTCCTTGGGCCTCTTATGAACTTTGATCTTCAGTTATCTCCATAGATGTTTATGTTTATGTATTTAGCAGACGCTTTTGTCCAAAGCGACTTACAAGTGATAATCAGCATGTTGGCCTTGAGGCTAACAACAACAATAACAACAACTTGACATCAATCATGGAGAGGAGGGAACAAGGAGTGGACAGTAGAGGGGGGGACAGGTGCAGGGAAGGTGCTAGTTTAGAAGATGCTCTCTGAAGAGCTTCAGGAGTTTCTTGAAAGTCGAAAAGGAAGCCGCTGTTCTGGTAGTGCTTGGTAGGTCATTCCACATTTGTGGAACGATGCATGAGAAGAGCCTGGACTGTCCTGAGTGTGGTGTAGGCACTGCTAGCCGACAATCCTGTGATGACCGGAGCGGCCGGGCCGAGACGTAAGCCTTTGCAAGAGGATTCAGGTAGATGGGAGCCGTACCGTCTCGGACTTTGTATGCTCGTGTTAGCAATTTGAATTTGATGCGTGCAGCTAGCGGTAGCCAGTGGAGCTCAATGAACAGAGGGGTGACGTGTGCTCTTTTTGGCTGATTGAAGATCAGACGCGCCGCTGCGTTCTGGACCATTTATAGAGGTCTCACAGTACAGGGTGGAAGACCAGTTAGAAGGGCGTTGCAGTAATGGAGGCGGGAGATGACAGTAGATTGCACCAGGAGCTGGGTGGCATGTTGTGTTAGGTATGGTCTGATCTTTCGTATGTTATACAGCGCAAAGCGGCATGAACGAGCAACAGAGGCAACATGATCTTTAAAGGTCAGGTGTTCATCAGTCACAACACCCAGATATCGAACTGCCTTTGAAGGAGCCAGAGATAGGAAGTCATTTTAGATTGAGATATTGTGCTGTATGGATGGTTTTGCTGGGATGACAAGTAGTTCAGTTTTAGAGAGGGTGAGTTGGAGATGGTGGGATTTCATCCATTTTGATATGTCAGAGAGACAGTTTGATATCCCTGCAGAGACAGTGTGGTCGTCCGGTGGAAATGACAGATAGAGCTGGGTGTCGTCTGCATAGCATATGGTTGTCATTCTATATCATGTTTGAAGAAACAGCACCATAGATACATAGATGTTTTATGGCAGGGCTATTCAGTTCTGGGCCTGGAGAGCCAGTATCCGGCACATTTTAGTGGTTTCGCTGTTCCAACACACTTGATTCAGTGGTTGAATCATCTGTGCAGCAGCTCATCAGGCTCTACAGGAGCCTGTTAATCACCTGCTGATGTAAATCAGGTGTGCTGAAGTGGAGTTAAAACCAAAACATACTGGATACCGGCCCTCGAGGCCCGGAACTGAATAGCCCTGTTCTATAGGATGGGGGTCAGGTGATTGACGGGGCCATTCAACCAACTAGATTTTCTTTCTTTCATACCACTTCCATGTATCCGTGGCCTTATGCTTGGGATTGTTGTCTTGCTGAAATTTCCACCCTTGTTTCATTTTAAGCTTTCTGGTATATGGCAGCAGATTTTTATCCAGAATGTCCCGGTACATTCCTCCATTCATCCTGCCTTCAATATTATGAAGTCTGACATTACCCCTTGCTGAAAAGCAGCCCCACACCATGATGCTTCCACCCCATAACCCTGTTGCTAGGGTGTTCTTTGGATGGTGCTGTTTCTTCTCCAAACATGATATAGAATGACAACCAAAAAGTTCAACTTTGGTTTCATCTGACCACACTATACTCCCCCAGTCAAACACTGGCTTCTCCAAATGCTGTTTCAACAGCTTTAACAAGCCTTAGCATGCTTTTTGTTCAGCGTCTTGAGTGATGATGCCATGGCACTTCAGTGCATTGCTTATAGTTTTCTTTGGAACAACAGACCTGCTGATGATGTAAGGTCTTCCTGAAGTTCTGCATGAGTGGTTTTTGGCTCTTGGAGAACTCTCCTGATTGTTCCTTGGGCAGAAATCCTACGTGGAGCACCTGATCGTGGCCTTTTTTGGGTGAACTGAAGCTCTCTCCATTTCTGGATAATAGTCCCCACAGAGCTCACAGGAACCTTCAGCATTCTGTAAATGTGCCTGTAACCATTCCCAAAACGTTTTTCAACAACAAGATTATAAAGACCTTGGGAGAGTTCTTTGCTCTTTCCTATCATGAAGTCTTTCCTGTGTGCCTCCTGGGTAATGGGAAGCATTTATAGGCCATCGATCAGGAATAAATCAGCTGATATCAATGACAGTGGGCGGAGTTTCTCACTGACAGAGTTCAGGGGATCTCCTGGCTTTCTGCCCTTTTGCACCTTGTGTTTAATATGCTTTCTCTGTGTCTTTTCACTTTATTATGCATAATTCTGTTTATGGACTTAAATGTTTCAAAATCTTTGCATGAATTAAATACTTGAGTTGATGTTTATGTGTGGTCGGCATTTTGCGTCAGTAGCCCGCCTATAAAACCTCACTGATGAAAATGCTGATGAGTCAAATGCTTTTGATTCTCCCCGCTGCATCAGTGTGACACGCCTGAAAGATGGACAAGAGTGGATCAATCCTGTCGATTACTTTGGTTGTGAAAATTCTAAATATGTGCAGCCAGCCAGTGCATTTTGTCTTAGATCCATGGGTGAATCTGTTAATCTCCCTTTCTTGTCTCCTCAGGTCCAGCTGGCTGAAGCCGTGCTGCGGTCGTCGAGTTGCCCTGTGGCAGGTCTGTCTGCTCAGCGCCGGATTCAACTGTGCCCTGGTGGCGAGCGTCTTCCTGGTGGTGCTTTTCCTGTCTTTGGAGCTGCTCATAGACACCAAACTATTACAATGTAAATAGGTGTTTGTTTGTAACACCACCACCATATTTAACACCCCGTCACATTGATGAAACCCCTGTGTCAGCTCTACAGCCATAATGTCAGTTTTCATGAACTCCCCAGGTGCTCATGCACAGAAGTTCATCTTCCCCTAAACATTCCTGGCCCTCCATGCATCCATTTTCATCTCCTTATCTAGAGTCGGGTCACGGGGGCAGCAGCCCAAGGCGTTCCCTGGCCAGCCGGGAAACAAAGTCCCTCCAGCCTGTCCCTGGTCTACCTTTAGGTCTCCTCTCAGCTGGACGTGCTCAGAAAACCTCACTATGGAAGCGACCAGGAGGCATCCTGACCAGGTGCCCGAGCCACCTCAACTGGCTCCTCTCGATGTGGAGGAGCAGCGGGTCTACTCTGAGCCCCTCCCGGATGATTAAGCTTCTCACCCTATCTCTAAGGGAGAGCCTAGTCACCCTGTGGAGAAAAGTCATTTCAGCCGCTTTCGTGCTTTCATTCACTACCCAACGCTCGTGACCATTAGTGAGGGTAGGAACGTAGATCGACCAGTAAATCGAGAGCTTTGCCTTCCGGCTCAGCTCTCTCTTCACCACGACAAATCGGTACAACTCCCGCATCACGTGCAGACACAGCACCAATCCGCCTATCGATCTCACGCTCCATCTTTCCATCACTCGTGAACAAGACCCTGAGATACTTCTATTCCTTAAACTATATAAATACACGCCATGTTGCTACTTACCATTTCATCCCGACTACTTCACAGTCGGCGGCGAATGGCTCCAGAGATCTGGTCTGATGAGGCCAATGGTCCTTTGGTTCACTTAAAACTGTTGTAAACTAAAATCAGCTGTGCGCCTGCAGCTCCAGTGTGTTTGTTGGCTTGCTGGTCCCAGAGGAGCTGGCAGAGCTAGATGGCAAATAGTTCTGATGCAAAGTGATGGAGTGAGGTGATTATGGGCAATGTCTCTTGTTGATGGCTTTAAGCATTCATCTTCATCAATTACTGGCCATCATCCAGCTCTGGAAGTGAGACCTGTAGGGCCAACTTCAAGATGACTTCTAATCCTGCAAAGTAAAAGTTGTGCTTCATGTGATTAGAAGTATACATTGGCAGTTTCTCCTTATATGTACGTATTGATTTTTCTTGTGGAGTTGTATCCTTCTTGGATTAATTGTGATTTTCTTTGCCTGTTTTCCAACCCCGCAGTTTCAAATGCGTTCCAGTTTGCCAGCATCATCCACTGGATCAGCCTTATCATCCTGTCGCTCTTCTTTTCAGAGGTATGCTTTAAAGATCCAAAAGACCTTGGTTGAGATTCAACAGAAGTATCTCCCTTCACATAGCAAATGTATATGAGCCATATGTAGGTTAGCCCCGCCCCTCAAACGAGTCCCAGTGAAACCGCATTGCTGGACTGAAAAGTAGCACAGACAGAAAAACGCTCTGTGTGTAAATAAGTGTCTAAAACTGAGATTTTCTTTAAAGTTAGAGTCCCATTAGTCATCATCACACTGGTGGAATCACATTTCAACATTTGACCCATCCCCGTGGGGAACGGTGAGCTGCAGCAGCGGCTGCGCTAGAAAACTCTTTGGTGGTTTAACCCCCCAGTCCAACCCCTTAAAGCCGAGCAGGGAGGCCTTGGGTCGTAAGTCTTTGGTATGACCCGACCGTGGACAAGACCAAGTTATTATACGTTTGTCATTGAACAAGAAACGGGGAAGGCTGTTGTTGGTTTAGCATCCAGGAGAGAACAGAGCGCACCTAGGCTAGTAGAAGCTAACCGTTAGCATTAGCAACTCCACACGAGCAGAACTCCTCCAGGCTTGTGCTTATTGTGGAGATAAAACATCAATGTTGCAGAGCAAACAGAGTCAATGGTAGAATCGTGATGCTATTAGCCAATCAGTGGAGAGATGTCAGAATATCAGGAAATAAAACTCCAAATCCTGCCGTGTCCTAATCCTCACTCCTCTGGCTAATTAACTTACTGAAACAGGAGCGCCAGAGCTTTTATCACACAGAGATCAGAGTCACTCATTTATGCTGCACCACTGCAAATGTGTTGAAAAAACAAGTGAACTTAGTCTTTAAGGGATGCTTTTAAAGTTTCACTGGTTTTGTTTTCTGTGCTTATCTTCATTTGGTTTTTTGTTCTGTTCAGAATTTTTCTTTATCCGTCTCTTCAGAATGAGTCAGGTATACAAATTTATTTGTAAAACTATGTGGTCTTCCAATTATGAAATAAAAGTAAAAGACATTCCTGAAGGCTTTTCCTCACTCAACTCCTAATTTGTGTCATTGTGCAAGTTCAGTTTCTACAGAAAGCACAAATAGATTCAACAGAAATAAAAGAGATTAATGGAAGGAACCAGAAACAGGCCGTGTGTAACAAAGGCTTATAGATGTGAGGACTATATGTGGCCACACAGCCTCACTTCAAGTTTCCTTTGTGTTTCTGTCTCCCTCAGACTGTGTTCAGAATCGTAGTGCTCGGGATCTGGGACTACATAGAAAACAAAGTAGAGGTAGGTACAGGCCCAAGTCCGGAATCGTTTCCAGAGTTTTAAGCCTTTTGCTGGCAGGTAGAGCACATTTTAGCCCCCATGTCTAAGTGATGTTTGAATGAAGTGAAATGAATGAATGAATGAATGAATGAATAATTAAATAAATAAATAAATAAACGTGATCACTGACCTGTAGACGCCTGCCTGTCTCCATTAGGCAGGCCTCATCTGTTGGCATTTTTAAAAAGGTACTGAAAACGTACTTTTACTCAACCGCTTTTACTAGTCCTAGTTGACTCGATAGTCCTGTTTTTTTATCAATTCTTATGTCTGATTTTTATGCATTGTTTTTATTGTGCTTTTACTTGACTGTTTATGTATTTTAATGTTTGTATATTTCCATGTTCAGCACTTTGGGCATTATTGTTGCATTTAAATGTGATATAATAAATGTGATTTGATGTTGATTTAATTTATTACTGCAATTACTATTACTAATATTACTACTATTTTTATTTCTATTACTACTACTATTACTACTATTACTATTACTAATATTGCTACTATTTTATTACTAGTATTACAACTATTACTACTATTATTTCTATTACTTCTATTACTATTACCAATATTACTACAATTTTTATTACTACTATTATTACTATTACTACTATTTCTATTTCTAATATTACTACTATTGTTTTACTACTATTACAACTATTACTATTATTATTACTATTAAAACTATTGCTATTACTAATATTACTACTATTTTTATTACCTCTATTACAACTATTACTATTATTACTTTTAATACTAATACTATACTGCTATTACAACTATTATTTCTATTACTGTTATTACTATTACTAATTTTACTACTATTTTGATTACTTCTATTACAACTAATACTGTTACTATTATTAATAATATTATACTACTATTACAACTGCTACTATTATTATTACTATTACTACTAATATTACTACTATTCCAACTATTACTACCATTATTACTAATACTACAAATATTTTTACTACTATTAAAACTATTACTACTATTATTACGATTACTACTATTATTATTACTGCTATTACAACTATTACAACTATCATTACCGTTAATACTAATATTATTACAACTATTACAACTATTACTATTATTACTATTACTACAAATATTATTACCACTATTACAACTATTAGTACTATTATTTTGATTACTACCATTATTATTACTACCATTACAACTAATACTACTATTATTACTATTACTACTATTACAATTATTACTACTGTTATTATGATTTCTACTATTATTATCATCACTACTGTTACAACTATTACTACTATTATTACTATTTCTACTATTGTTCTTACCTCTATTACAACTAATACTAGTTATTATAATTACTACTAATATTATACCACTATTAAAACTGTTACAGCTATTATTAGTACTATTATTGCAAATGCTACTATTATTATTACTACCATTACAGCTAATACTGCCATTATTAATATTACTACAAATATTATTACTACTATTGCAACTATTATTACTATTACGATGACTACTATTACAGCTTTTACTACTATTATTACAATTTCTACAAATATTATTACTACTAATATTACGATTACTACATTATTAATACTACTATTACAATTATTACTACTACTATTAGGGCAGCAGTGGCTACATGGTAGCTCATTCCCACCAGGGTGTGAATGTGTGTGTGAATGGGTGAACGACTGATTGTGTTGTAAAGCACCTTGGGAGGTTCCAGGACTCTAGAAGGTGGTGTATCAAACAACAGGCCATTTATTTCTATTACTACAAATATTATTACCACTAATACAACTATTACTACTATTATTATTATTACTACTATTACTCTGATTAGTGCTATCACTATTACTACTATTACCATTACTATTATTACTATCTGTTTTACAAATATAATTCCATACACTATCACAAATAAACCAAAATGCAAAAACAAAAGTAAATTTTCTTTGTGTGGAAGTTAAGGGTTAGTACTTTTTACAACTGAACTGAAACAATACAATTAAATCAATGCTTTTTTTTCTCCGCAAGTTAATGAGGTGACTGAAAAAGTTTGACAGGAAATGAGAGTTTGGTGCTCGCTGTGAACAGAAGGAAAACCCCAGCAGGTTTTAAGAAATGAAGCAAAAAGCTGCGTTTCAGTCCGAGTTGGTCTGGTTTGGAGGCTTCAGCGTTTTGACTCTTGTGTTTATGCCGTCAGGTATTTGATGGTGCAGTCATCGTCCTCTCTCTGGCCCCAATGGTGGCCTCCACGGTGGCGAACGGGCCCAGCAGCCCCTGGGACGCCATCAGCCTCATCATCACCCTACGAATCTGGAGGGTCAAGCGAATCATTGACGGTAAGGACAGGCCTCATCATTTATGTTAAATCAGTTTTGATAATAAACATCCTGTTGATTTTCACTGGTTGAAATCCACCAATCCAGTTTGTTAGAGAGGTGTGAATTTGTTTTCAACAAGCGTCTGCAGCGCTGCTTTCCAGGGAGTAAACTCCTGATTGTTTTGTTCACCTCCAGCTGTTCGGTCTGATATTTGTGAGTGATTGAATTTCCTTGCTAGGTGGGCAGAACTGCATCAGAGGGGAAGAACACCTCCTCAGACCAGTAAACGTACAGCTGATGAACTGTCTCAGTTATGGTGACGGAGGGGCTGAGTGATCTGCAGACTGCGCCCGACACATTAAGTGGCGACGTTGGTGTCAGACTAATGAGAGTGCAGAGGAGTGAGATGGTGCCCTGGTGGTGAAACGATGCTGTTTATCAGCAGCTCTGTGGCAGCTGGAAATATCAGCATTTCAAGATGATAAGTTCAAAATAGGAATGATCAGAATTGATTGATCAAACATGTTGCCTAACTTGGCAAGTGGTTTAGCTTCAGTAAAAATGTAAAAAAAATGTGGTTTGTGAAGAGTTTAGAAAAAAATAAGTTAAAAAAAGTAGTGATTTAGTCATGAAACCTTGCTGAGTTTTTCTACGATAACAAATTTTGACCACCTGGAAGAAAAAAGAGAGAAAGGTTTAAAGTCTGTTTTCAGAAGGAGTTTGGATTTAAGCCCCGTGGCGCATCATCACAAACTCCACATTAAACCACTTCTGTCCTTAAAGCATCCAGATGGAGCATCAGGATTAGCACCTTCATCACAAACCTGTCATATCCAGCCGTGTGTGTGTCTGCTGCCCCCTGGTGGAGGATCCACAGCTTACACGGACTAGTTTTATTTCTTGTGTGGTTAATAATGCATTTTGGCTCCTAATCTTTACTTGCACCTGGATTTGAACACAACCTGTAAATAATATTTTAACTTCCCAGATTCTCACCAGAGAAGAATAATTCTAAACTATTTTATAAGCTTCTATATATTAGTGCCAATTATGATCATTTTAGTGATTAATTACATCAGTATAATATCCACATATCAGTTACAGTTACTTTAGTTACTATAGATTCAATAAGTTGCAAGTTTCACAAATAATATTTTGGTATCTTAGTTAACTGCAGTGATTTAATGTAACAAAGTACTTTGCTACTGTAGTTAATTACAAATTTTCTGTGTCTGTACTTCAGTTATTTATTTCAAGACCTTTTTACTTTTACTCCACTACATTTTAAAGTAGTTCTCTGTAATTTCTACTCCACTACATTTTCAAAAGTAGAAATACTTGAATTTAGGTTTAGTCCTACCCCCACCTCACCCCCGGTCCGATGGAGACTAGAAGCACACTCCCTACTTTGGGTTTTGCCCCTTCTCGTACCCGTGGGGACCGGGCTTTCTCAGTCCTAGCACCGTTACTCTGGAACCAGTTGCCACCCTCAGTTAGGCTGTCCCCTTCTCTGCCAGTCTTTAAGAATCACCTAAAAACACACCTCCTCCGCTTGGCGTTTCCAGAACATGTTTGATTATGGCCCTCTATTATGTTGAATCCATTCCACAGTTTTCATTGGTACACTCAATCCATCCACTCAATCCAGTTGTGTTTCACACATTTGTATTTTACCGGAATGTTTCATCTATCTTGTTATTTCCATTTTGTATTTTGTAATTTGTATTTTGTAATTTGAATTTCTTTTATTGTTGATTTATTCAGTATAGTTACTTACAACTACCATGTTCAGCGCTTTGGGCTTCCTGACAGGGTTGCGGAAGGCGCTTTATAAATAAAGCTTTGATTGATTTGATTGATTGATTGATTCTCCCCCAGGTCCTCCACACACACACACCACATATTTGAAAGTTAGTTGAATACTTTTCCTTTTTAATTACATTTGAGGAAGAATGCACATTTCAGTCGGGTGTCTGTCTGTTGTGTTTCAGCATTTGTGCTGCAGGTCAAAGTTGAGATGGAGCTGGAGATCCAGCAGTGTGAGAAGACCAAGGCCGTGCGGGAGGAGCAGCTGGAGCGTCTCACTCAGATCTGTCAGGAGCAGGCGGTGAGTCCGGTGTGTGTGTGTGTGTGTGTGTGCGTGCGCGTGCATGTGCGTGTGTGTGTGCGTGTGTGTGTGCGTGTGTGTGTGTGTGTGTGCGCGTGCGCGTGTGCAAAAAGCACCCGGGAAGCTGTTTTTCAGTTTGAAACAAGCTCAAAATTACATTCTGCAAACCGATCAGTGTTTCAATTTATGCACAGCTGTTAAAATTCTTGCAAAACCTTTGAAATCTAATTCATCTCCTATGTGCTTCTGTGTATGCTTGAGCTGAGTTGGGGTGTAAATCAACTGTTTTCATAAAAATCCCAAAACATAAAGACTTAACGGTCCAGTCGGAGGCCACAACAATCTTCTGTTGGCCAGCATGGAGCTATTGGTTGATCTGCCAGCAGAGGGCAGCAAATCCTCACAAACAGCTGAGTTTGTATCCTCTGAGCACACGCAGACACTAGAAAATAAAGATTAATAATAAATACTGACGGGTAGGACTGGGTTACTTGTTTAAAAATTAGAATTTTTATTTTCACAACTTTTACAGGATTTGAAGTTACTCTGAAACCTTTTATATTTTGTGTAAGGCATCCTGTGAGATATTAAATCAACTCACTGCCTCTGTAATGTAGCTTATTACTGTTATTGTCTCCATCTGCGTATTTCCACCCGTCCTTTCACACATTACTTGAAATATCGAGCCAAGTCCCATTTAAACTCCGTTCTCTCTCTCTCTCTCTCTCTCTCTCTCTCTCTCTCTCTCTCTCTCTCTCTCTCTCTCTCTCTCTCTCTCTCTCTCTCTCTCTCTCTCTCTCTCTCTCTCTCTCAATTGGCCCACCACCACCTCCAGTTCGAGATCCGGCAGCTGCGGGCACATCTGGCCCAGCAGGATCTGGACCTGGCAGCGGAGCGTGAAGCAGCCATGCAGATCCACCATGTCTGGGGCAAACAGGGGAAGAGCTTTCAGGTCATAGAAGGTTTGACACCGGGGGAGTCTGACGACGAGGGCGGTCAGAGGAACCCCAGGCAGCCCCAGGCTAACACAGGTATGGTGTCAGAAGAGCACCTCAGAACGGGGCTGGTTCCATCATTTGAATCAGATATGAAGGATGTGAATTAAAACTTGGAAACAGTTTCTTTTAAAACAAAATGTGTGGTTTAAAAGTAACTAAACAAGTCAGAGGAGCTGCAACATCAAGTATTGTTTGATTCAGATGGTGGTGATGTGAATATTAATCAATTATCAGTGCATATGGATGCATTTTTCTACCCCTCATCCCTTTTTAATCACCCAAAGTGAATTTACTCCTGATAACTTATTATCAACGCTTGTTGACTTACAGCACCCCCGATTCAGACGTAAAACATTAAAAGCCCCAAACTCGTATCGGAGCTCTAAAAATACCAGACAGAAAAACAAAATTATTGATAATAGGAAAGAAGAAAGTTCTGTATCAAAGGAAGTAACATCAATTGAAGGCAGAATTTAATTTCCATTTTCAAAGAAAGACCCTAAATAACACGTTTCATTACATTTATTGATCTTTTAATGTTCTACATCCAGTCCTGACCAGTTAGGTCACAGTTTGGCTCCAAATCTAATCAAACCTAGTTTCTACGGATTAAAAGTCTCAAATAAAGACACAAGCCTACCGTATGAGCATCTGCATCCCATAATGTCTGTTTTTGTCCTCCGCATTTTTTTTTTTTTTGCTCTTAGTTTGTTTTCCAGCTTGTGTTTTTGGTCTCTATCAGCCTGTGTCTCAACCAATCATCTGCTTAAAGCGCAATACTCAGGTCCACCAGCAGGTGACACTAACGCTGCATAGACATTAAACAAGACATCCTGTTTTATATAATTACATAGAATGAGAACTATCAACACATCTTACAGCAGCAGCTGCAGGTGTGAGTTCAACTCTATCGACAGTTACATGAAAACGTATGTGAACCCTTTGGGATTAAATGGATTTCTGCACATAAAATGTGATCTGATCTTCATGTGAGTCACAACAACAGACATTCACAGTCTAATTAAAGTAATATAACACAAATAATTATATGTTTTTATTGAACACACTATGTAAACAGTCAGTGCAGGTGAGAAATGTATGTGTACCCCTTAATGACATCTCCAAGAGCTAATTGGAGTCAAGTGTCAGCAAACTGGAGTCCCACAAGTGAGATGAGATTGGAGGCCCTGTAAAAAACACAAGAAGCATTACCTGAGGTGAACGATGCGTCGCACAAAAGAGTTCTCAGAAGACCCACGGCTGTTGACTTGATGTTCATCGGTAAGACAAATAGTCTTTAGATGAAAAAAGTTCAGCTCTGAACATCTTCGTTACGTTCGTAATGTGTTGGTTATCCAATTTCATTTTCTTTAGTTCTTCGTTAAACACAGGTTTGCTCTGACGAAGGCGGCGGTGTATGTCGAAACACGTCAGAAAAACCCTCATCACTAAAGAAAATGCAGTTCAGCTCTGTGATACTCTCCCAGTTTCCTTTTCCGGGGATCGGACCGCCAAGGCTCCCGCCTCGATCTGCCACCCAATCCACACTGCACCGGACCATTCATGTTCCTCCTGCGGGTGGTGGGTCCACAGCTGGATGAGCCCATGTATCCGGTTCGGGCTGGGTCCGGCCGGGCCCCATGGGCGAATGCCCGGCCACCAGGCGCTCGCTCACGGGCCCCATCCCCAGGCCTGGCTCCAGGGTGGGACCCCGGTAACCCTTCGGGCCGGGTACTCCGACTCTTTGATTGTAAATCAATGTAAGATCCTCTGAACCGTTCTTTGTCTCACCCTTCACCTTAGACAAATTTGTCATGGGAGACCCTACCAGGGGCACAAAGTGCCCCAGACAACATAGCTCCTAGGGTCATTAGGGCACTCAAACTCCTCCACCACGATAAGGTGACGGTTCAAGGATGACCAGATTGATTTAGCATCTGCAGTGATGCGGACGCTGAGCCGATCTGTCGTGGTGAAGAGGGAGCTGAGCCAGAAAGCCAGGCTCTCGATTTACCGGTCGATCTACGTCCCAATTGTCACCTATGGTCATGAGCTTTGGGTAATGACCGAAAGAACGAGATCGCGGATACAAGCGGCCGAAATGAGTTTCCTCCATAGGGTGGCCGGGCTCAGCCTTAGAGATAGGGTGAGGAGCTCGGACATTCGGGAGGGACTCGGAGTAGAACCGCTGCTCCTCCGGATCGAAAGGAGTCAGTTGAGGTGGTTTGGGCATCTGGTCAGGATGCCTCCTGGACGCCTCCCTGGGGAGGTGTTTCGGGCATGTCCTGCCGGCAGGAGGCCCCCGGGTCGACCCAGGACACGTTGGAGAGGTTACATCTCCAATCTGGTCCGGGAACGCCTTGGGGTCCTGCCGGAGGAGCTGGTGGAGGTGGCCGGGGAGAGGACGGTTTGGAGCTCCCTAGTTGGGATGCTGCCCCCGCGACCCGGACCCGGATACGCGGAGGAAGACGACGACGAGGACTCTCCCTAAGAGAGGCCGTCTTGTAAAGATGACCGCAAGAGCACAGCGCTGAATGCTCAGTGATGTGAAGAAGAATCGTAGAGTTTCAGATAAAGACTTAGAAGAATCTCTGGCACACGCCAATGTCCCTGTTGGCAAATCTACGATACGTAGAACACCAAACAAGACTGGAGTTCATGGGATTACACCATGGAGGAAGCTGCTGCTGCATTATTAAAGTTAGCAGAAGAGCACCTGGATGCTCCACAGCAGTTCTGACTGAGATGCTGTGGTGTGACCTCAAGAACACGATTCACATCAGACATCACAAGAATATTCCTGAACTGAAACAGTTCTGTTAAGGGGGATGCGAAAGATTCCCTCGTGACCATTGTGTTGGTCTGATCTCCAACTACAGCAAACGTGTGGTTGAAGTTTCTGCTGCCAAAGGAGGTTCAACCAGACAGTAAATCCACATTTATTAGGGCTGTCAAAATAAACACGTTTTTAATGCATTAATGCAAAGCTCCTTTTAACGGCTAATTTAATTAACGTGCGATTAAAGCGCAGGCTTCCGTACTTTCCTTTGGCCCTCCTGGCGTTCCATGGCCTACATCAACAAGAACGTTAATGCTCAGTCGGCAGATGCTAGGTAGAGCATGGAAAACAAAAACGGTCTTTTGAATGGAAAGTTTGCATTTAAAACTCTAATGTCGATGTGAACTGAGCTATCACCATAGTATGTCAAGTCTCAAATACCACCTGTTGGCAAAACATACAGCTGATGCAGAGAGCCCTCCTCCTCCTCGCCGACAGAAACCCACGCTGGAAAGTTTTCAGCAGAGACGCCTGGACAATTTGACATCACGTAAGCTTTCAACAGCCATTGATAAATGGGTAGCTACAGCCTGTAGACTGATTAACATTGTGGAGGATGAAGGACTACTTGACATAATTCGCATTGCATCAAGCGACAGCACGTATGAATTACCTTCGAGAGCCACCGCGGCTACCAATAAACAAAAACTGTATCAAGATGAAAAAGCACACTTCTCTTTGTCCTAGTTTTATTCTCACATGTTGATTTTGTGAGTACTTATCATTGTTCACTCCATATTTGAAATTAAAACTGTTTTTTAATCATTATTAAAAGTTATTCTTAAAAATTAAGTTTGTGATTAACTGTGAGTTAACTATAGACAATCATGCAATTAATCACGATTAAAAATTTTAATCGATTGACAGGTCTAATATTTATAAACTTTACCCACCCGCACACATGGTGTGTTCAACAAAAACATGAAAACATTAAAGTGTTTATGTGTTATTAGTTTAATTAGACTGTCTATTGTAACTTAGTTAGCTGTGTGTGAGAACGAGGGAGTGGAAAGTGGAATTTTACTGTTTAACCCTTTATAGGGCCAACGTCGATATTGAGACACTTCTACTCACATCATAAATGAAGTCGGTGTGGCTTTTCACGAAGACTTACGGGATTTCACCCCAACAATCACCAGAGATCAAGCTAGTCACGGTTTGCACCACGGCGCCATTCCACCAATCAGCGCAGAGTCTGCAGAGCCAGAAAGCTGCTCGGTCTCCTCTCGTGTTTATGGTCAGATCTCTAAAACTAACAATGCTAAGTTTCTGAAACTCTCACATCACAAGGTTGACTAGTTGTGCTAAATAAGAATACATGTGTTGTCAATGTTAAACTCAATAAAGTTGGTGAAATCTTAGCATGAAAATCAAATCTGCCATGTTTGAACAAACGCCCTGAACAAGTCAAGTCAATTACGAATATTTTAGGTAAAATCTGTTGTTTTTTAGACACAATCATAATATTCATGGTAACAGTAATAATAACAATTATGATACTGATTATGTTTTGGAGTTTTAAACTAAGATTTCTCTTAAAAATGGAGGAGGATTGTGTCAGCAACTCTCACCATCAGTGATGATGATGAACAAGAGGAAGATGATGATGAGGCAGATCCTCAAATATAAAATATTCTATATTTGATCAGAAATAATATCTATTGTTTAATAACTTTTCAAAATTAATCCACAATTATCAGTTTTTATAGAAATATATTTAATAACTGTGATATATTCTGTATTTTCGAACAGTGATATAATGTTCTAAAATTATCTAGATCATTCTAAAATTGGTGACGGAGGGGCTGAGTGATCTGCAGACTGCGCCCGGCACATTAAGTGGCGACGTTGGTGTCAGACTCATTATTATGATATAGTAACTTATAATTATGAGATGAGATAGTGTATCATAATTATGAGACAGCTAAGTCATAATAATGAGATACTATGAGATAGTATCTCATTATTATGACTTAGCTGTCTCATAATTATGAGATACTATCTCATTATTATGACTTAGCTATCTCATAATTATGAGATACTATCTCATTATTATGATATAGTATCTCATAATTATGGGATGAGATAGTGTCTCATAATAATGAGATACTATGAGATAGTATCTCATTATTATGAGATACTATCTCATAGTATCTCATTATTATGAGATACTATCTATTATAATGACTTAGCT